AGAACCCTCTGCAAAGCTTCAATAGCTACAGTCTAAGGAAACAATCATGCCCTCCTCCCCTAATCAGCACCTTCTGCCTGCGAGGGTACCCATGGGCTTAAAAATAACAATCCCTTCCCGGATAGACATCACTTACTTGATATAACATTTCTAGGTTTATTACCTCAGAACCTCCTCATGACAACCCAGTGAGGTAGGCGGAGAAGAGATTACAGTTCCCATGGTATAGGCCTATGTATTCAGTAATGAAGCTCAGAGAGGAAAAGTGTCAAACCCAGTGGTTCCCAAGGTGCAGCACATGCCCCACAGGAGGGCAATATGATTTTAAGTGAGGGCAAATAGAGAATGTGTAAATAGTGAATTTTTTGCATTCCTTATGGTTCTAAGGGGCCTCATCTATAGCATATCCTATATAATAAAAGGCTAATATGCAAATCACTGAATGGTGGCATCACTGATCACTATGATGTGCACTGACCACCAGGAAGCAGATATTCAATGCAGGAGCTACTTCCTGGTGGTCAGTGTGCTCCCACAGGGGGAGTGTTGCCCACTAAGCTGTCAGTCAGACATCCTTAGAATTGCCACGCAGGCGGGAGAGGCTCGCGCTGCCGCTGTGCTTGCCAGCCATGAGCCGACTTCTGGCTTCCACCATTCAGTGATTTGCACATTAGCCTTTTATTATATAGGATATGCTGTAAATGAGGCCCCCTAGAACCATAAGGGCTCCGGGATTGCAAGAGGGCACAGGCCAGGCTGAGGGAGCCCACCCCCAAGAGCACGAATTTGGCCGAAACCGGTTTGGCTCAGTGGTAGAGCGTCAGTCCGCGGACTGAAAGGTCCCAGGTTCGATGCCAGTCAAGGGCATGTACATTGGTTGCGGGCACATCCCCTGTAGGGGTGTGTGCAAGAGGTAGCTGGTCAATGTTTCTCTCTCATCGACATTTCTAGCTCTCTATCTCTCTCCTTTCCTCTCTGTAAAAAAATAAAATATTTTTTTTTAAAAAGAGCACGAATTTGGTGCACTGGGCCTCTAGTTAATTATAATTAAATAAAAATTCATTTCAATTCTACTATCCACATTTCAGGTACTTAGTCACATGTGGCTAATAGCTGCCATAATGCAGAGCACAAGTATATAAGATTTATATCACCACAGAAAGTTCTATTAGTGCGTATGTTAAAACTAGGACACATTCTAGAAATTCTAATGAGATGAAGAAATTAGTGCAGAGAATTAAAATAACAAACTCATTTTAATCTAACTTTTATTTTTAACTCACTTACTAGCACAACCCAGAATAGAAAAGTGTGCTCCATTAAAAGAAAAAATTAAACTACTTTATTCAGTTAGATACTGGAGTCACATTTGTTATTAACCAGTTAAATTAATATTTACTGAATGCCAATCACCTATGCCAGGTATTGTGGTAGAAGCTGGGGATTCGAAGTTGAAGAAATCACAATTTGTGATATTAAAAGCTAACCATTAGCCCGACCAGCATGGCTCAGTGGTTAAGGGCTGACCTATGAACCAGGTCACAATTTGGTTCCTGGTCAGGGCACATGTCCCTGTTGTGGATTTGAGCCCTACTGGGGGGCATGCAGGAGGCAGCCAATCAATGATTCTCTCATCATTGATGTTTCTGTATCTCTCACCCTTTACCTTCCTCTCTGAAATCAATTAAAAAAACAACAATCACTAAATATTAAACAAAAAATCAGTGCATAACCTATAAAATATATATAAATATATTATTTATATATTCTATACAATATATTATACATACATATATGTGTGTATATATGTGCACTTGTATACATTCACACAAACATGCATATATATTTTAAATAGCCAATTGTGATAAAAATGCAGGTGGAGTTATTTGGTCTCAAAAACATTCTCTTTGAAAAGAATGCCTTCTTCTAAAATCAATTCTCCAGACTTTGTGAAAAGCAGTAAGAGATAACAATCGGGATTGACCACTAGAGGTTGGCTTGGGGTAAAGTCTTTGGGATTGATTTTCTACACCTAAAAGTGTCATATCTTCTATCGAAAATCACAGAAAAATAACAACTGAAAAAATGATAAGTGTAATATAAATTGTGAAATATTTACTCCAAGTATCAAGTTAAACTTATTCTTCTTTCCTCTGTTTTTACACTTATTTTCTTATTTACACAAGATACTTAAAGCAGTTTGAGCAGTTTATACTGCTCTTCTTCCAATTCATATCTCAAAGTTGGCATTCTTTCACTTATATTTTTAGATTCCTACTCTTCAGTTTTTGTAACCATTACATTTTTCTCAAGATAAATATCTCACTCAAACCTATCTATTTTTTCTTCCCTACATGAGCAGGTTCTTATTGAAAATTATACATGCCCAGAATAAATTGTCTATAAACACTGTAAGATATACTTCATCACCATAATAAAGGTGAGATTTACTTATAAGTTTCTAAATTATAGCCTCTACAATTCCATTGAATAGATAAATAAGACTACAACTAATGTTCCTTAGCATTCATTAACTTATTTGTACACAGCTCTAAATGAGCTCAATGCCCAATTTCTAAGTCAGCAGTTTTAAAATGTTTTGGTCTCAGAATCCAATACCACTTTTAAAAATTACTGAGGAACTCAAAGAACTTTTATGAAATATAACTAAGATTATAAAAAAAAATTAATCTTAGGTAACTCTATTGGTTGGGATATAACCCTTGTACACCAAAATGATTGCAGGTTTAATTTCCGGTCAGAGCACATACATAGGCTGCGGGCTCCGTCCCAGGTCAGGGCCTGTATGGGAGGTAATGATCAATTTTTCTCACATCGATGTTTCACTCTTCTCCCCCCTCTCTCTCTAAATCAGTAAACATATCCTCAGGTGAGGATTTTAAAATATTATTTTTAATGTTTACTCATTTATTACTTTTTAAAATATATTTATTGATTTCAGAGAGGAAGGGAGGAGAGATAGAAACATCAATGATGGGAGAGAATCATCAATCCGCTGCCTCCTGCATACCCCCTACTGGGGATTAAGCCTACAACCCAGGCATGTGCCCTTAGCTGGAATGGAACCTGGGACCCCTCAGTCTGTGGGCTGACACTCCATCCAATGAGCCAAGCCCTATCCACTGAGCCAAGCCGGCCAGGGCTGTTTACTCATTTAAAAGTAATGTTACCATTACACGTTAACATAAATTACATATTTTTAGTGAAAATAATTCTGTGCCAAATAAAGTTAGTGAGAAATGGCTTAAAGAAAAATAGCTGGAGTCTCATGTCTGTTTCTCCATTCACTCTGTCATTTTGGATTGAGTAAATAAAGAAAATCTGCCTTCCCAAAGGTTTGTAATTGGGAAAGGAAAAAGTATTTTAAGTGATGATTTCTTTAAAATTAGCTGCAACATATTATAGAATCTGAAACCATATACCAATGAACCTGACAAAATCTTGAATTAAGATCCATTACTTTTTCACTTTTTTGTTGTTGTTGTTTTTTTGTTAATCCTCATCCAAGGATATTTTTCCATTGATTTTTTTTTTTTTTTTTTTCTCTTTTTTAGGGAGAGTGGAAGAGAGAAGGAAAGACAGAGAAACATGGATGTGAGAGAATCACACCAATTAGTTGCCTCCTGCAGGAACCCCGACCAGAGCCCAGGCAAGGGAGGAGCCTGCAACCAAGGTGCGTGCCCTTGACCAAAATCAAACACAGGACCCTTTGGTCCACAGGCCAAGGCTCTATACACTGAGCCGAATCAGCTAGGATTAGCTTTCACTTTGAACCGGTTCTGCGACATCATGCATTGGTCATTTGGAAATATGAGTTCAGTGAATTAAGCAGATACTCCAAATATTAACCCATTTCATTATAGAATTATCAAATACTTACATTTCTTAGTATTAACACTGATCTTATCTTGACCTTAAGCCAACACCTTTTTAAAAAATATATTTTCATTGATTTTTTTAGAAACATTGATGATAGAGAATTGTCAATCCACTGCCTCCTGCATGTCTCCTACTGGGGTGGAGCCAGCAACCAAGATACCTGTCCTTAACTGGAATCAAACCCAGGACCCTTCAGTCCACGGGCCAACACTCTATCCACTGAGCCAAACTGTTAAGGCCAAACACTTTTTTAATTTTAGTGCATCATATGGAGAATATGCATAAGTAACTTTTCTGCATATAGAATTGTTATCTCAAGGAAAAGAACATGCGCATTTGACTTGAGTGGAACTGATCACTTTTCACAGAACACAACTTTTACGCACAATGTGACACAATGTGACAAACAATTACTTGGACTCCTGAAAGAGCCTGTGGGAAAACCAAAGGAGTCCAGACACCATGCTTTGAGAACCACTCTCCTGAGCAATAAGGCAAAATGTTACAAAATTTCATGAGTCATTATACCTTCAAGGAAACACAAATGCGATATAAAAATATCTAAATATTTCTGCTTAAATTCAAGGAAATCCAAAAGACAGAAAACCAGATCCCAAAGTAAAATATATAAGCCCCATAGTTGGCCAATATAAAGAATCAAACTCAAGAACATGAAATTCTTCTTCAAGCACTTATGCAATCTCCACAACATAAACACATTTTAGAATACAGTACATTAAGGCCATAAACAAACTTATAGATATGCCAAATAATTAGACCATAAATGTTGATTATTAACTGCCCATTAATAATAGCTAATGCTATTGCCAGGCACTGTGCTAAACTACTATATATTGTTATTACATATAATCCTCAAAACAAAACTGTACGGTAAGTACTACTAAGTCCCATCTCACACATAAGGACACTAAAATATAAGGTGACAGGACGAATGATGGTAGTACGGTTAGGATTTAAAACCTGCACCCTTCACTTATTCTCATCTGACAACAAAGTCAATTGTCCATTCTATGGAAATATTATGGATTAGTCTTTGGTTGAAGAGAATATTTTTTAAAAGGGGGGAAGTACAAACTCACAGTTTTTAGTTCCATCAGTACTTGTTCATCAACTCCATCATCCAAAAAGATGTCTCTCACATCATTAATTACATCTTCGATCACGGATCTGTATAATTTAGGCTTTAAATTAAAAAAAAAAACATATTTTTAAATAAAAACATTTTTAAATAAAAATTTCATGTATTAAAATGTGTAACACATTCTCACAAATTCAAGGTAACACAATAATTTTTTCAACTATCTCCAACTTATTTCAGAAGATACGTTAAAAGACATGGCTATCCTAGAAACGTCATTTACCTTAAACGGAATTATTCCTGGATACATATTTTCAAAAAAGGTTTAAGACTATTTACTGCAATTCATATACAGAAAAGGTCCTTACACATACAAGGTCATACAATTTCCAATGTTGTAGTCAAAACAACTATTGTGATCCAATGTTTTATGGGTTGCAATGTCTGGTTCCTATTATTCCTTACTTGGTTTGATCCCTATATCTCATAACCTTGTCACTAAATCTTAGACTTTTGAGAACCTTATGTACCATAGTTATTGCCTGGATATAATCTGAACCTAACAACTATTCAAATTTTTAAAATCACCTACCTTCTAGGTTGTTGGTTGTTTTTTTTGGGTTTTTTTTTTACCTAGTCTGTACTTTTAAGATTATCCCATTAAACTGTTTGTATACCAGCGATAATAGGCCTCTTTATTTGTGTTCTGTTATTTTCTTAAGGGAAAAATTACTGGCTATTCAATAAAACAAATGATTTGTTCTGGTAAGCAAACCTGAAACAGAAATGTTTTATTAACATCACTATGAACAATACCCTAATGACAGAGAACCCTCTAAGAATATGTGCCCCTACCTAACAAAAATACAAATAATGAGTTCCCCCATCCAACTTGTCTCAACCGTAAGAACTACTTTTTCCTTTTCACTACAACCAGAGAAATAATTCATTTATCTGGGTTCTTGTCTTTGTTATTCCACTCACTAACTTGCTTCTTTATTTTGCTAAATCTGCCTCTGTGGACTTCAAATTATTCGTGCATAAACTGTGTATCTCTACAGTGCCTCCTTATTTAACCTTTGATTCTATACATATAAGGAAAGCATACCTGCCTATGAGTAGCACCTTAAGGATAACAATTTAACTACTAAATTACAGAAATACATTTACAAAGTAGTTACTCAAGAGATTACCCATAAGTAGCTACCCACAACTTAACATAATGGATTCATTAGCACTATAGTTGAAGGGGAATGTGTCCTCTTCATGAAGCATATGCATAAAGAATAATTCAGTAGAATTGCCCTCAAGATGCTTACATTTATAAAAGTATTTAAGTACATAGTCACTATTTCAAATAAGTAATTTCCAAATTATTACTCAAAATGCTAAACTTTACTTGAACCAAAGTTTCTGTATTTTATGAAATCCAAAGTAATTTAGGATGTTTGTCCTGTTTTTCAATACACAGATACTCCAAGCTTAAAGGGCCACAGTGCATATCTAATGGTTAATTAGAAGATTTGTTTCAAAAGTGTCGGTCCACTAGTGTAATATTAGAAAATGAATTAATTTCTGTATTGCACATATCAATATCCCATGCAATAAAACACCATCTCCTTAGAATTTTAATTTTTTTCAAATCCAGTTTGCACAAAGTCGACTCACTCTCATTACTCACAATTTCCCCTGACATAAATTCACTGTGGACATAAAATCCTATCTTTAAGCACTTAATCTATTTCTTTGTCGCTTTAGGCACTTAATTCTATTTCTTTGAAAGCTTCGTGTCTTCTGTATTTATTACAGAAAAACATAATGCAATACTACGAGTCACATTTCTAATCTGTTTCCCCGAATACTTGGTGAGCAAACCACCACAAAAGGCAAGTCCTCTGCAGCTACCAGATAACGTTAAGAAAGCAATTTTAAACATTCCCGACAACATGCACATCCGTATCCTCATTCAAAAAAGCGACTGAGCTAAAAACTCTTCATGAAAATATAAAGAAGGGGCAGCGATTTCATTTTCCCCTCACAAAGACGGCAAAACCCCAGATGCTGCATTTCAAACAAACAAAACAAAAAGAAAAAAAAAGAAAAAAAACCCCGGGGCCGTGAAAGCAGCCTCGCCCGTCGGGTGCGCAATGCCAGCCTCGGAGGAAAGGAGCTGGAAATAAAAGCCGAGCGCTGCACGCGCCCGCCACCCGCCCAGGGAGCACGCACCTCCCAGCCCCGCTCTCGGCAGCGCTCACTATTTAAAGCCGGATCTGGTGTTTAAATGGAGAGGCGGTGACGTAGGCCTGAAAAGCACCTTCCCATCCTGGCAGAGTCTATATTAGAGAGCGGCAATGGCTCTATATAAACAGGGCAGCCGAAGGGAGGAGGACCACAAGGCTCAGGGACCGAAAGGCAGGCTCGGCGGCCGCAGCCATGATGGATCCACCCGAGTCGCCAACGGTAACGGGGTGGTCGGGCGGCCGCGGGCTGGTCTGCGGCGTTCGGGACCGGGCGAAAAGGTGTTTTTTATGGTCACAATAAAAAATAAAAATAAAAATAAAGAGCGGGTTGGACTAGTGATCACATTGCGTTGGTGACTTGATAAGGTTATTAGGGATGTGACTGCTTTTTGCAAACCTACGTGATCTCGCCAAGTAACCAAAACGGGGGGAACCCACGGGGGGGGGGGGGGGAGATGTAGGCAAATTTCAAGGCGAAAGCGGGGGGGGGGGGCGCTTGGACCACTGTAGGGTGGGTTGTTTTTTGCTTTGTTTTGTTTTGTTTTTGTTTGCTTTTTGGTGCTTTTGCTAGTCGGAGATACCGTGGGGGTTTTTATGCTTCCCCTTCGCCATTTTACCGATTCGGAAGGAACCGAGATAAGTGCTTTTCAACCTTCGTCCTTTAAAAAAAAAAAAAAAAGCATAAAATGGCCCCAAGTGAAGGCTCCCTAAGCACGACCGCCAGAAACACCCAAAGGAACGCCGCGAGCAGCCGGGAGCCGTGGTCGGCTCCGGAGTGGGTCGCCGTGGGCTCGGGAACTCGCCCAATTCCCCAGGCGCGGCTGCGGCTCGGGGGCCACTCGGGGAGCCCTTCTCGCGCCGGCGCGGCCGGCCGACTTTGGGGGGGAAGCGGCGGCTCCCCGCCCGCCCTCCCGCCCTGCCGGGGTCTGGGGCCGGGGCCGCGCGTCCGCCCCTGCCCAACGGCCTCCGGCCGGGACCGCCCCGCCACGGCCCCGGCCCCGGCCCCGGCCCCAGGCCGGCGGCCCCCGCCCTCCCGCCGCTGCCGCCGCCGCCGCCGCGCGCCCTCGGCGCCCCCCCGCGCCCGCCGCCCGCCGCCCCGGCCCCTCCGCCCGAGGCGGGAGAAGGAGGCGGGAAGCGGCGGCGGCGGCGGCCGCGCGGGCGGCCGGGGAAGAGCCGAGGCCGGCAGTCGCCGCCGTCCCCACCCCCGCCCGGTCCGGCCGTTGCTGCCGCCTGAACGAAACACCCCCGCCGGCCACCGAACCACGTCCTTACCACGGTGTTTGTATTTGCCGAGTTCGCCATTTCCACACACAACACAAGAAGGGGGGGCCACCCCCGAGAAAACAAGCTTAAAAAACAAAACAAAAAACAAAAACAACAAAAAAAAAACCGGAGGGTGACCCAAGCAAGCCACCGCAAGACGGAGGAGGGACTTGGGGAAAAATGGTAAAACAAAATCGGATCCTCAAGGAGTAAAGGGGAGCGGGGAGAGGAGGAGGGAGGGGGCAGACCTCCCGAAGCTCAAAACCTCGAGAATCGCCCTTAAAAAAAAAAAAAAAAAAAAAAAGCCGAGACCCTCGAGGGGTCCGGGGGGCGTTGCCCGCCCCGCGCCCAGGAGGGAAACCACCACCGGTCGCCGCTCCCCACGCCGCCGCTGCCGCCACCGGCTGCAGCTCCAGCCGTCCGGTCCGCCCGCGTCTTCCCTTTATATAGTGAGCCAACGAGCTGCGCGAGCCGCCGCCGCCGCCGCTGCCGCGGAGAGACAGGGCGGAGGGGAGGGAGGGGCGGAAAGGGCGGGGGCTGTGGGGGGCGGGGCCGAGCGCGAGACACCGCGAGAGCCGCGTCGTCACGCGCGTGGAGGGCGCCGGGTGGGCGGAGTCACCGGGCTGGAGGAGGGAAGCGGCGGGATCGTCGCTTCGCGAGTCACGTGATCACGGGTGGTTGGCGCCCAGGCGGAAGTGTCCGGCCGCTCTTCTGCCGCGAGGAGCTCGCAAACAAACCGCTCGTGGGAAACTGCGTGGCTAGGGGTGACACTGGAGTGCGGTGCCGCTGGGACCACCTCCTGTGGGGGCGTGTCTGCTCCGCCCCGTCGCCGCGGAGGAACGGGTGGATGTGGAAGGGGTGGTGACGAGCTGCCTGGGTTAGGAATGGCCGCGCAGGGCTGGTCACGTGGCCCGGCTTCCGGGCCCGGGCGCGCTTGGACTGCGGGCAGAGTTTTAAATGCGGTGTCATCTCCGAGGCTGTGAGCTGGCTCGCGCTCCGCGCTACGGCCTTGGCGCATCTCGCCCGGCGTGGGCCTGGCGCTTACAAAATTGCGTACGTGTCCCTAAGTGTTCCTAAATGCGTTGGAAGCCGACGTGGGCCCGCTGTGCACACGTTCCAGAATTAATTGTTGGAGTTGTTTGTCGCCACCAGGACAGCTTAAAAAAGTCTCTGGGTTTTAGTTTCCCCAAGGTCTGGCCTCTGCTTTTAAGTGATTTCTCTCGGTGATGGAAATACCAAGAAAGCACCCAGTACGGGTTTATGACAGAAGGGTAATCCTCTGTATTTTTTTTTTTAATGTATTGCCGAAATTCTGTGACTGCACATGGCCAGCATGTACTAATGTCTGAAATACTTGCCCCAACCCGCCAACTCATGTGGCCTGCCGCTGGGAGAAAGCGGGCAGAAAGCGACTATAAATTAAGAGTGCTGACCTACTTTGCCTACGCTAAATCCCACTTTTATGTCAACATTTTACACAGAACAGAGGATGTTCTGTGTAGAAGGCACAATTCACAGTACCTAATTTTCCTGTTCTTAGGGATTTCGAGAGACACGGAATGTAGTCGGGACGAGGGAGGGAGTTTATCCTCAAAGGGTAAAGCAAAAGAAAATTTCCAAGTTTTATGTCGCTGAAACCAGATTTGAAGAATACCAGACGTCTTCAAGAGAGAGAAACGGATGGAATCTGCTAGGACATAAAGGAATTCGATTAAAGAAAGCAGAGGCCATAATGCTCATAAAATAGGAAGCTGTGGATAGGTTTGTGAATAGGTATAAAGAATATGTTAACCTTGGGGTTCCATTTAAGGCCATAGGATCCTCCACTCAACTCTTAACATTCACTTGCTTCGCAGTCCCTGCATGGCTGCCTGTTTGGGGATAACTGGGGGCACTTTTTAAAAATGCAAAGGAGTCTTTCCTCGGTAAGGATCTCCTCAGATCAACATGCCTCTTGCCAGAAGAGAAGAGGAAATAAGCAGCACTTGGTGCAGAGCCCCAATTCCTACTTCATGAATATGAAATGTCCAGGATGTTATAAAATTACCACAGTCTTTAGCCATGTACACACAGTTTTATATGTTAGTTGCTCCACTGTCCTGTCAGCCAACAGGAGGAAAAGCAATGCTTTCAGGATGCTCCCTCAGAAGGAAGCAGCGCTAAAAGCACCTCGAATCAAGATGAGTGGGGAACCATCCCCATAAGTACATTTTGGATTTGACTGTTACAAATATATATATTTATATAAAATTTAAAAAAAGGAGTAAGACAACTACAGACAGGATAAAGGAAGAATTTATGAGATTTACTTTCCACAAAATTACTCCTGCAGGGATTGATGACACAGGTATGTTCTGATGTGTCTGGCCTATGAAATAATGGAATATAGTTATTGGATTTAAAAGGAAAAAACCCAGTCCTGGCCTCCTGAAGTCCTTCAGACTCCCTCAAGGCCTTGTCTGAGTCGGCCTCTCCACTCACTGTAAATTGCAACATTGCTTAAGTGCTTGATTAATATTTTCCCAGAACTCTTCCCCAATATGCTTGGCATCTAAGTACCCATCATGGATTCTATCCCCATTCATTGTTTTTTAATCCTCATTTAATGATAATATATTTTCAATCAAAACATGTGTGCCAGTCATTTTAGCTTCAGAAAAAGACATTTTCTGATGTTGCACCAAAATAGTGGATCTGAGTAATTTGGAGGCTACAGCCCTTTAACTCAGAAAACTGAGGATTTGTGAACAGAAAACTCCTGAGTAAGACTGGATTGAGAATCATATTTAAATACTTTTTATTTGAACTTTTTCTTCTCTCTGCCCAAAAGCTTGACTAACCCTTCTAATTTTAGCAAGTCCTTGGACCATATGAAACATTTATACTGGATTTTCAGTTTGTGAATTCATGCTTTGTAACAGTCATATACTTAAACAGATAAATACAGAATAGTGCTCTCTTTGTGATGAATTCTTTTTTTTCCTTCAAAATATTTTCACTTGGCAGATTAAAAAGTTACTTCTTTCTCTTAATATTCTGCCTAAACACTGGTTAACTGCCAAACAAATGAAGGGAGGAAATCAATGCATAAATTTTAATATACTATTATATATTACTATAAAGCTCATAATATACAAAATAAACACCAACCCTTATATATCCAAACATTTAAATGTTTATTGTCCAAATGACTATTTAAGCAACAATGCTAAGAAAGAAGAAAATCTATCTACAGATATGAAGGATTAAGATTTACTCTTGAGGCAGCTATGAGAATATTTTAGGATTTTTAAGAAATAGAAGTTTTCATTGATTTCAGAGAGGGAAAGAGAGAGAAATATCAATGAGAGAGAATCATTGATTGGCTGCCTTCTGCACACCCCGCACTGGGGATCAAGGCTACAACCCGGGCATGTGCCCTGACCGGGAATTGAACTGTGTCCTCTTGGTTCATAGGTTGACACTAAATCACTGAGCATACCAGCCGAGCAAGATGAGACATCTTTGAATAGCAATACGAGGGTACTTGAAGCAAGTTGAACCCAAATCAAATATTACTTTATAATGCAGCTAAAAAACAAAACATGAAAATTCAAATTGATCATTATTGGAGGACATTAAAGAAATCGTTATTTTGAAGATTGGTAAATAAAGAAAAATAATCAAGCATGAATGCCGTCTTTCCTACATGAACTGAACCACCAAGTACCAAATAGTAGATGTAGTGAGTGAAATATATGTCCATGTGCTAATCCATGAACCTGTGAATATTACCTTATGTGGGTCTCTGGTAGTGTAATGAAAAAGGATTTTGTGATGAGCTCAGATTGGAATATACACTAGTAGACCCTAAATCCAATGACAAATTGTCCTTATAAGGGACACACAGAGGTGAACAAACCGAAGAGGAAGAGGGAATGTATCCAGAGTGGTAGAAATTGGAGCGATGCCACCACAAGGAATGCCAGCAGCCACTAGAAGTTCAAAAAGGAAGAACAGATTCTCCCCTGTGAATCCCTTAATTTTGGACCTCTGGCCACCAGAACTGTGAGATAAATTTCTGGGTTTTTTTTTAAGTTGAAGTTTGTGGTTATTTATCACAACACTCAGGAAATTAATACAGTAGATGAGAAAAAGTTTCTCTTGGAAAAAGTATAGCAGCTAGTTAGTGAATAAAGTGTGCAGGAGGCAACTGATCAATGATTCTCATCATTGATGTTTTTATCTTTCCCTCTCCCTCTCTGAAATCAAAAATATATCATATATATACATATATATTATATATTTATGTATATATATATAATGTGAATAAGGAATGAAAAAATATTAATATCAACATTTTGCAACCTCTGATGAATTAAGAGATGGAGGGGTTAAGCCAACATCACAGAAAAGAAAACAAACAGATATTATGTGCTTCCTGATGAAGATCAGGCTATTATCCATAAGCTAGTCTTACCCCTACCCACCACCCAAAAATATAACTCCTGAATGTGATCAAACTTCTAGATCCAACTAACAATTTACAAAAAATACAAAGGCCTGGTAGTGTTAGAAATGTAATTAATATTAAACACGGTGTTTAATTACATGGGTTTCTTCTTTCTTGGATTCTTGGCTTTCAACTACATATGCCTTATCTTGATTTACAAATTGAACAGCTGTGATTTTCACCAGTTAAAAATGGTGAAAATTAAAGTGCTGGCTCAGACTGGCTCAGAATGGTAAGCTACATATCAAGAATGCAATCCACAAAATCCAGACTCTGAGAAGTGGTAGGACAAATGATCCAATTTCTTCAACAAATAAATGTAGGGAGAGAGAATCTACAGATCAAAAGACACATAAGGTCAGTCTATGTGGGAAATTTATTTGGATCCTAATTCAAACAAACTTCAAAACAAAGATGACAATTATGAGATAATTAAATTGCAACACTTACTGGCTATTTGATGAAATTAAAGTTATTGAATTAAATTAAATATTCTATTAAAAAATGAGTAAACCCAATGAAGTCTTATTTTACAATCAGTAATGGT